CCTCGTGTCTCTCTGTATCCATATAGTCACACCCGTGCAATCCACAGTCTGTTGGGTCGCCTGGGGATGCGACGGAGGTGGGGGCATCTCCCGCGACCTTTCATGAACAAGCAGTTCCCGTTCTTGGTGGAGTACATGCTGTTCCCCAGTCTGTTATGTCGCCTGGGAATGCGACGGAGGTGGGGGCATCTTCTGCGACTTCACATCATAGCGGCGCGGTGTCAGGGGGACCTGTTCACGCACCTGGGAGAGAGCGTGAGTTCGACACTCCAGGTGTTCGGCAAATCAACGGCGCGGCCGACAGCCTCACAGGGATTCAGCCCTTGCACGAGAGCGGCACGGGAACGGGCATTCAGCCCCCGCCCGAACCAGAGTTCCCAGGTTTCTGTGGGCACTGCCAGCTGCATAACGCCGAGTACAATGTCACCTGTGCTATGCGCGGCCTGCCAGTCGACATCCATCCCAAGTCTGGCGAGGTGGACTCCTTCCGACGGCACCGTGAGCAAGGAAACCCCAGCATTGTTTCTTGCTGCTGCTCTTGGGGCTGAGCACCCCAGCTGCGACATCTTCGACGGTTCCGAGGACACGAACCCCGTCTCGTCCGACATCCAAATCATGAGCGCCCGCCAGGCGATGAGTGGCAGGCACTGCCGCGGCCGCGGCGCCTGGTGCGGCGAGGGAGAATTCGCGCACTGGGGGCGATCGTTCTTCCTCCTCATCATCCGCCTCCTCCCGCCTTCCTCCACTTTCGTTCTCTCTCTCACACGCTTTACCTCCAACTGCGCACGTGTCGCCGCTTTGGTGGGGCCTTGAGAGGTCCAGCGGAGTGGCGTCCTACGCTGATCAGAACTAGACTTCGCCCTCCCTGCGGGGCTGCGAACTGCGCAACGGTCGCCAATTGCGTGGGTTCCTGGGAGGTCCAGCGGGGTGGTGTCCCACGCTGATGAGACTGAGACTGTCGCCTGTTTCGGATACTTTCGGGCGCCCCTGTGAGGTCCAGCAGAGCGGTGTCCCACGCAGGCCAGACTGAGATCTCGCGGCGTCCTGGGGGGTTGCGAACTGCGAACGTGTCAGCCGTTTCGGGCGCAGATCAGGATGAGACCTCGCCGTCCCTGGGGGATTGCGAATTGCGAGACTGTCGCCACGACCGTGGGCTCGTGCGAGGTTCAGCGGAGTGGTGTCCCATGCAGATCGGAATGGGACCTCGCCGTCCCCGCGGGGCTGCGGACTGCGAACCATTCGCCGCTTTCGGGTGCCCTTGGGAGGTCCAGCGGAGCGGCCCGCGCAGATCAGACTGAGACTTGGCGGCGTCCTGGGGGGCTGCGAGCTGCGAACATGTCAGCCGTTTTGGGCGCCCATGGGAGGTCCAGCGGAGTGGTGTCTCACGCGGATCAGGATGAGACCTCGCCGTCCTTGGGGGATTGCGAACTGCGAACCTGTCGCCACGATCTTCGTTTGGCTTCTGAGGGAGGTCTAGCGGACTGGTGTCCCACGTGGATGCGAAGCAGACCTCGCCGTCCCCGCGGGGCTGCGAATTGCGAAACGATCGCCAGTTTCGTGGGGCCCTTAGGAGGTCCAACGAAGTGGTGTCCCATGCAGATCCGAATGAAACCTCGCGGCGCCCTGGGGGGCTGCGAACTGCGCAACTGTCACCGATTTCGTGGGCTCCTGGGAGGTCCCGTGGAGTGGCGCCTTACGCAGACCCAGACCAGACATCGCGGCGCCCTGGGGGGGCCGCGAACTGCGAACATGTCGCCACGTTCGTGGGCTCCCGCGAGGTCCAGCGGAGTGGTGCCCCGCGCAAATCAGACTGAGACCTCGCCGCCCCTGGGGGGCCTGCGGAACTGCGCAAATGTCGCCAATTTCGTGGGCCCGTGCGAGGTTCAGTGGAGTTGTGCCCTACGCAGACCCAGACCAGACATCGCGGCGCCCTGGGGGGCTGCGAACTACCAAAATGTCGCCAATTTCGTGGGTTCCAGGGAGGTTCAGCAGAGAGGTGCCCCACGCAGACCCAGACTAGAACTCGCGGCGCCCTGAGGGTCTGCGAACTGCGCAAGCGTCGTCAATTCCGTGGGTTACAGGGAGTTCCAGCGGAGTGGTGTCCTAGGCGGTTCACGCCGGTGGTTTTTCGGACCCGCAGAGAACCTTACAATTTTCCCAATGGGTCAGGGTAAGCAGCGCGTAAACATGTGGGCTATGTGGGCTTGGGGAGAGCAGTGTGGATACGTACGGGCTCGGGGGGTCAGCGTGTGTATAGAAGGAACCCTTAACCGCTCGGCTCAAGACTCCGAAAGTTCTGCCCGCTCACCAGCCCGTTTTTCCTGGGGGGGCCAGCGGAACAGTCTCCTACGCAGAATTAGGCTAGACCGCGGCGCCTTGGGGGGCTGCGAGCTGCGAAAATGCCACCACTTTCATGGGCTCCTCGGAGGTGCAGCGGAGCGGGGTCACCCACACCTAGGCTAGACGGCGCGGCGCCCTGAGGGGCTGCGAACGGCGCAATTATCGCTGCTTCTGCGGGCTCCTTGGAGCTGTTTTGGGCTCCCTGCGCAGGGAAGACAGGGAACAGTCCCTGGAACCCTTGGACGGAAGACAGGGCTCTATGCTGGCAGGCGTGCCAAGAGAGGCATGTCAGATCCTTGGCATGTCAGAGCCTTGGCATGTCAGAGCCTTGACACCACGGGAAGTACCAAGATCTAGACATGCGATCGCACATGGACGAAGTTTCGCACACACCTCGAGACGCCTCGAGCCTACCTCGGGAAGAAAAGGACTCCCGTGGGACCGTCTTGGGCCCTTTTGAGCCGCATCGGTGGAGTCTTGGGCGGGCTTGGGCCCTTTTTGGCCATCATCGTCGTCGTCGTCATCACCACCATCATCATCACCATGACCATCACCATCATCATCAACAACAGCATCATCATCATCGTCATCATAATCATCCTCATCATCAGCATTGTCATCACCATCACCATCACCATAACCATCATCACCATCATCATCATCATCATCTTCATCATTATCTTCATCTTCATCATCAGCATCAGCATCATCATTATCATCACCATCACCATCATCAGCATTCTCATCAGTTTCATCATTATCATCATCACCATCACCATCATTATCATCATCACCATCATCATCATCGTCATCCTCGTCCTCGTCATTATTAGCATCAGTATCGTCATCGTTATCGTCGTCGTTATCATCAGCACCATCATCATCTTCATCGTCATCTTCATCATCATCATCGTCGTCATCAGCATCATCACCATCATCATCATGACCATCACCATCATCATCATCACCATCATCGGCATCAGCATCAGCATCATTACCATCACCATCACAACCACCATCACCTCACCATCATCAGCATCAGCATCATCATCATCGTCATCACCATCATCATCATCACTACCACCATCACCACCACCATCAGCATCACCATCATCATCAGCATTTCCATCACCATCATCACCATCACCATCATCACCACCACCATCACCACCATCACTATCACCATCACCACCATCACTATCACCATCACCATCATCATCAACATCAGCATTCTCATCACCAGCATTACCATCAACATCAACAGCATTACCATCATATCATCACCAGCATCATCACAATTACCATCATCATTATCATCAGCTGTATCATCAGCATTATCAGTACCATCACCGTCACCATCACCATCATCATCAGCAGCATTATCATCATCACCATCGCCGTCATCATCACCATCACAATCACCATCATTAGCATCGTTATTAGCATCATCACCATCATCAGAATCATCATGATTATCGTCTTCATCTTCATCATCAGCATCACCATCATCATCACCATCACCACCATCATCACCAGCATCACCATCACCATCACCATCACCACCGTCATCATCACCATCATCATCATTACCCTTACCATCATCATCATCATCAGCATCATCATCATCATCCGCATTATCATCACCATCACCATCATTGCCATTACCAACATCACCATCATCACCAGCATCTTCATCTTCATCATCAGCATCATCATCATCGCCAGCAGTATCATCATCTTCATCTTCATCACCATCATCACCATCAACATCGTCACCATCAGCATTATCATCATCACCATCACAATCACCATAATCATCATCACCATCACCACCACCATCACTCTCATCATTATCGTCATTATCATCGTTATCATCATCGTTATCATCATCATCGTCATCGTCATCATCGTCATCAGCATCATCAGCATCCTCATCATCTTTATCTTCATCATCATCGTCATCACCATCACCATCATTACCATCACCATCATCACCATCACCACCATCACCATCATCATCATCACCATCATCACCGTCACCATCGTCATCATCAGTATCATCATCACAATCATCATCAGCACCATCATCAGCAGCATTATCATCACCATCACCATCATCACCATCATCATCACCATCACCATCATCACAATCACCATCGCCATCATCATCTTCATTACCATGTTCATTACCATCATCATCACCATCACCATCATCGTCATCGTCATCATCATCATCGGCATTATCATCATCATCATCACCATCACCATCACCATCATCATCATCATTATCATCACCATCACCATCACCATCGCCACCACCGTCATCGTCATCATCATCATCATGATCAGTAGAATCGTCATCGTCATCGTCATGATCTTCATCATCAGCATCATCATCATCATCATCATCATCATCTTCATCACCATCATCACCAGCACCATTACCACCATCATTTTCATCACCATCATCACCACCACCATCATCACCATCACCATCATCACCACCCTCACCATCGTCGTCGTCGTCGTTATCGTCCACATCATCATCATCATCATCGTGGAGTCCTGGGGCTGTCTGAGGCCGCGCCACGGCGTGCGGCGGCGGAGACAGGAAACACGGGCCCACAGAGGGAGCATTCGCACGTTGCAGTCTAGCCCAGGAGCGGGAGCCGCTGTTCCTCGACGACTTCGGCATCCGGTCCCTCCCGCACCGCCCACCCGAGTGCGGGGCGAAAGAAGAATAATGATGATGTTGAGGACGAGGCTGAGGATGAGGATGAGGATGAGGACGAGGATGAGGAGGATGAGGAGGATAAGAATGAGGAGGGTGAGGGTGAAGATGAGGATAGTGAAGATGAGGATGAGGAGGAGGAGGAGGAAGAGGAGGATGAGAATGATGGTGATGATGATGGTGATGGTGATGGAGATGGTGATGATGACGGTGGCGATGATGGTGATGGTGATGGTGATGGTGATGGTGGTGATGGTGATGGTGATGATGGTAATTATGATGGCGGTGGTGATGATGATGGTGATGGTGATGGTTATGCAGATGTTGTTGATGATGATAATGATGATGGTTATCATTAGTATTTGTATGAGTAAGATTAATACCAGTATGAGTGTTATAATGATGGCGATGGTGATTATGATGGTGATGGTGATGGTTTAGGTGAGGGTAGGGGTGATGGTATTGATGATGTGTTGATGATGTTGGTGAGCGTGATGGTGATGATGATGATTTTGTTGTTGCTGGTCTTGATGATGATGATGCTGCTGATGATGATGATGCTGATGATAATGCTGATGCTGATGCTGATACTGATGCTGATGATGTGGAGTAGGAGGAGCATAATGAGGAGGAGGAGGAGTTGGTGGAGAATGAGGTAGAGGAGGAGGAGGAGGAGGAGGAGGAGGAGGAGCAGCAGGAGGTTGATCAGGAGGAGGAGGAGTAGTCGGATGAGGACGGAGGGGAGGAGGAAGATGAGGAGCAGGAAGAGATGGTGGCAGCGAAGGTGGCGGGGGCCATGACGACGTCTTCATGCGCTCGAATGCAAGTGACAGCACACCAAAACTTCGAGGATAAGGGGAGGGCGGCCAAGGGGGAGGAGGACGAGAACGAGGAAGAGTAGTAAGGATTGGGTGAAGAGGAAGAGAGGATGATGAGGGAGAGGAGCAGGAGGAGGAGGAGGAGGAAGAGGACGAGGACAGTGACAAGGATGAGGATGTGGAGGGTGAGGAGAATGAGGCGGTATGCCTGTTCCTGTCCCCCCGTATTGCTCGCACCCTTGTAATCAAATGGAAAGGCGGTTGGAATTCTTCCCGCGTTTTGCCCTCCATGATCTCTCAGAATTTCACGATTCCTCTACACTGGACAAGCTGGGATACGATAGTATCAACGGATATCAGATGATGGAGTACGCTGCAAACCTAGATGAACCGAATGAAGCCCAGAATATTTGGACAACTGAAGAAAATCGTGGAGGATCCAGCGCGAGACGAGGGACAGCAGAAGTCGGCATATTTCAAAGACATGTTGATTACTTCGTCGTCTCGACAGCGCCATCAGCCGTTCACATTCACCCGAGAGGCCCCCGGAGACCTCCTAAGGCTGGAAAAAGGAGCAAGCTCGTGGAAGAACCAACCGAAAGCAGCCTCAAACCTCCCTTTGACTCCAGATCCGCCGTACTGTTGGCGATGTCGCAAGTACGGTGGAAATGCCTGATTTACTTTTTAAGCTCCTTTGATGTCGATATCCGCCATACTTTTTGGCATCCTCTGGGGTGCAATTCCGAAGCAAGTTGTAGTCGCAAGATCGACCAAAGTACGGCTGTTGGGAGCAGCCCGACGATGCGCTCGCGCGAACCGGGCATCGCGGGTGCAGTTCTGGCAGCGCCCCTCTGCACGGACAGGAGGCGCGCAGCCCGTCTTCAGCGGCACCAGGAGCAGGTCCTCAGCGTGTGGATCTTCGTCGCCAGATCCGCCGTGGCCCTCCTTGCTCGCAGGGGGCATGCCTATGACAGAGCGCGCCAGTGGAACGCTCCGTACTAAAAGGGGGGCCCCGGCTTCAAGCTACGCCGCCCTGCTCCTCCCTTGGAGAAGGGAGGGGGGCTTCCGAAGCTACCCCCGTCCCCCCCTTTTGTGGGCATTTTTTAGCTGGGGGCGGGCCCTAGCTAAAGGGGGAGGGGGGCTTGGAAGCTACCTCCTCCCCTTTTCGAGGCCCGAGGTCAGCCCGGGCTCCCCTTCCAAAGGGGGGGGGCTTCCCCCTTTCCCCTCCTTCTGGTTGCATTTTCACCTGGAGGACCCTGGCTGAAGGGGTGAGCTTCGAAGCTACTTTTCTTCTTAGGTTTTCGGCGCCCCTTTAGTTTTCGGTCTACGTGTGGTTTTCGTCGTCTCTTTGGTTTTCGGCACCTCTTTAGTTTTCGACGCCCCTACGGTTTTTGGCGCCCCTTTGGTTTTCGGCGTCGCTTTGGTTTTCGACGCTCATTTCGTTTTCAGCGCTCCTGTGGTTTTCGGCGCTCCTTTGGTTTTGGACGCCCCGTTTGGTGTTCTGCGCACCCTTGAATTTTCGGCGCATCGTTGTTTTTCGGCGCGCTCTTGGGTTCTGGCACCCTTTGGTTTTCGGCCTCTTGGTTTCCGGCGCCCTTTCTGCTTTTCGGTGCCCCTTTGGGTTTCCAGCGCCCTTCGGAATTTCCGCGCTCCTTTGGTTTTCGGCGTCTCTTTCATTTTTCTGTGCGCACTTTGGTTTTCGGCGCATTGTTGGTTTTCGGCGCCCTTTTGGATTCCAGCGCCCCTTTGTTTTTCGGCGCCTTCTTGGTTTTCGGCGCCCTTCTGGTTTGCGGCGCCGTGCTCTTTTAGTTTTCGGCGCCTCTTTAGTTTTCGGCGCCCTTCTGGTTTTCGGCGCCCCTTTGGTTTTCGGCGCCCCTACGGTTTTTGGCGTCACTACGGTTTTCGGCGCTCCTTTGGTTTTCGGCGCCACTTTGGTTTTGGGCGCACCTTTGGTTTTCGGAGCTCCTTTGGTTCTCGGCGCCCTATTGGTTTTCGGTGCCCCTTAGGTTTTCGACGCCCCCTCGGTTTTGAGCGCGCTCCTTTGGTTTTCGGCGGCCCTTTGGTGTTCTGCGCACCACTTGGTTTTCTGCACCCCCTTGCTTTTCTGCGCTCCTTTGGTTTTCGGCGGCCCTTTGGTGTTCTGCGCACCCTTTGGTTTTCTGCACCCCCTTGGTTTTCGGCGCCCCTTGCGGTTTTCGGGGCCCTTTTGGTTTTCGGTGCCCCTTTGGTTTTTGGCGCCCCCTTGGTTTTCGGCGCTCCTTTGGTTTTCGGCGGCCCTTTGGTGTTCTGCGCACCCTTTGGTTTTCTGCATCCCTTTGGTTTTCGGCGCCCCTTTCGGTTTTCGGGGCCCTTTTGGTTTTCGGCGCCCGATTGGTTTTCTGCTACCCCTTTGGTTTTCTGTGCCTCTTGAATTTTCGGTGCCCCTCTGGTTTTCGGCGCTCTTTGGTTTTCGGCGCCCCTTCGGTTTTCGGCGCCCGCCCTGTTGGTTTTCGGCACGGCTTTTTCGTTTTCGGCGTACATTTGATTTTCAGCGCCCTTGTGGTTTTCGGCGACCTCTTGGTGTCCGGCGCCCTTGTTATTTTCGGCGCTCCTTTGGTTTTCAACGCCCTTTTGGTTTTTTGCGCAAGTTTTGGGGTTTTCGAAGCATTTTTGCGTTTCGGCGCCTTTTCTTGTGTTCGACGCTTCTTTGGGTTTCATCTCCTTTTGGGTTTTCTGCGCCTTCTTGGTTTTCAGCGCCCTTGTGGTTTTCGGCGCACTTTCGGTTTTCGGCGCTCCTTTGTTTTTCGGCGCCCTTGTGGTTTTCGGCGCCCCTTTGGTTTTCGGCGCTCCTTCTGTTTTCGGCGCCTTTCCGGTTTTCGGTGCCCTTATGGTTTTCGGCGCCCTTCTTGTTTCCGGCGCCCTTATGGTTTTCGGTGCCCTTATGGTTTTCGGCGCCCTTATTGTTTTCGGCCACGATTTGTTTTCGGCGCCGTTTCGGTTTTCGGAGCACCGTTGGTGTTTGGCGACCCTTCGGTTGTCGGCGCCCCTTCGGTTTTCGGCGCCCTTTTGGTTTTTGGCGTCAATTTGGCGTCAACATGAAGTTCGGTTACCCTTTGATTTTCGACGCCCTTTTGGTTTTCGACGCTTTTTTTCCACCGAACTTGTCCCCGGTGCCTCAACTGAGGTGGGCCTGCGGATTCTTTCCTTGATAAATATCGAGGTCGAGGTGGGCCGGCGGATCAAAATTTGAGGATTTCTCAGGCGAAACGCTTGTTTTTTTGAAATCCCGATCGATCAATCACAGGGTGCGGGCCACTCTGTCGTGTGTTGAGGATGTCTCGAGCGAAACGCTTGCTCCGCAGAATTTTACCGAGGATGTCTCGAGCGAATCGCTTGTTTTGTAGAACTTGAGGGATCTAGGCGCTCCAGAGATTTGCCTTCTCCAGGTGCACGAACCCGTGTGTTTTTACGTATGTGCCTACAGATTTGCCCTCTCCAGGTGCACGACCACACCCCAGCACGACCACACCCCAGCACGACCCCACCCCAGCACCACCCCACCCCAGCACGACCAAACCCCAGCACGACCCCACTCCAGCAAGACCATCACCCAGCACGACCACACCCCAGCACGACCTCACCACAGCACGACCACACCCCAGCACGACCACGCCCCAGCACGGCCACGCCCCAGCACGACCACGCCCCAGCACGACCACCCCCCAGCACGACTACCCCCCCAGCACGACCACCCCCCAGCACGACCACCCCCCAGCACGACCACACCCCAGCACGACCAAGCCCCAGCACGACCACACCGCCTTGGTTGAGTGGTTGCCTGTCGTCGTGGAATGTTTCGTGGGGTGTCTCGTGGACTGTTTCGCCCGTGTCTCGTGGAATGTTTCGCGGGGTGTCTCGTGGAAGTGCCCGTCGCCCAATACGGTGTCGTGAAAACGTTTCCATGCATGCGGTTCTATATCCCTTTCCGGGTTCGTGGGTCCATCATGTCGGCTTCCTTTTGGTTTTCGGCGCTGCTCTGGTTTTCGGCGCTCCTTCGTGGCTTTCGGCGCACATGTTGGTTTTATGCGCACCCTTTGGTTTTCGGTGCTCCTGTGGTTTTCGGCGCTCCTTTGGTTTTCGGCGCCCTTTTTGGTTTTCGGCGCTCCTTTT